TCCAGTAGCGACAAAAACTGCGGGGAACTATGCTAAAAACGCATCTTCGCATGGGCAGCCCGCGCACTGGCCAATTATTTCCTACCTATATGCGTCAGAAGCCATTTATTGTCGAGGTGAACGAAAAAATCGTAGGCAAAGATCGGGTTTCGCAATGCCCGAATTGGGCCTTCGACGAGCAGCCGAGAGCAATTCTACTTGTTACTGCGTTACACCGTCCCGCAATCAGCCGTTTCTGCTTCAGAAGTGAAAACAAAAACCTTACAAAAGAAAAAAAAAAATTAAACGGGGACAGACCGCGTTAACAAGGATATTTCGAGCCATCAGCTCCTTTGCTTGAATTAGAGTAAGCGCTATTTCGGCTGCTTTTGATACTTTGTATGCTGACTGCGGAAAACCGTTTTCCTTTCTTTTATCTCCAATACAAGCTCTGTAAACAGCATGCTTTTGAGAAATCAGAATACAACAAGCCTATAAGACGTTTTGTATTTCAGTCAAATTTGAATTGCAATCTTGTTTTGCAGTTAAATATGAATAATGCCACATTCATTCTTCGGAAAAGGAAAAACGCCGCTATCGTGTGGGTACAGATGACAACTGCTACTCTCGGAAAACTTCCACCTATCATCGCCCCCGAAAGAGTGCGAAAACCGAGAGAACTGGACTTTCGAAGAGAACTGTTTTTAAGATTTTTTTATAGAAATTTCCTAAAAATTTGCATACCCGATTAGAGAAAAAATTTTTTTGCTTATTTTTCCTGATTATTTCTTTTTGACGGAGGTAACCCTAATACAGTTTGCGTGGATAATTAGCAAAGAGAACTGGTACTGCTGCTGTTATTAGGGTGCGCCTGTAAATCTATTGCAGCAGTGTTAGGCCCTTCCCTCCCGATCAGTTGGTACCCAATATTCAACAAAATCAGTGACTAAAAAGCAAATTAATTGAGTCAACAACTTCAGCTGCTTGACTGATCGAATTCTTTCCTCTTTTCTAACACCCAGTGATTAGTGGAGGAGCTGTTGACTTACTTTTTGTAATCTTCGACGAATTTGTCGACATCTGCAACTGTCAGCGACGGACTGGTAAGTCTAGCAATAATATCATCACTGTAACGTCCTGACAAAATGCCCTCTGAACTGCATACATTGACCACCCTGAATATCGACATATATTGGTACTGAACGACCGATGTTTGCTCACACTGGCCCTCTGATTCATTCTGATGGCAAATTGGTATCGAAGTACGCGCAATCTTTGATTCATGGAAACATGCAGTAACTCATTTAGTCCCTTTTTTTATGCGCTCCTGCCCAAAGTTTTTAAAAAAGTCTTGGAAAGCGGAATCACAGACAGTCTTGCCAGTAGGCGATTGCAGTTGGCACGTGTTATTTACTCAGCTGCTTCCAATTGTTTGCGCCTTACGACGGAAGTTTAGATTTTTTGACTTTGATTTTACAGCACCTGATGTCGAAAAGAAAACAAA